AGTTGTTCATCTTCTACCATTAAAGCTGCTGCTGACAATTCACTGGAAAAACCAGCACACTCTTTTCGAAAAAGTAAATGAATAGTATTTGCCAACCTAGGCCCTGCTGTTGAGCTCAGATACTCCAGCTCGTGATAGAAGGGCCAACTATAGATTTTTGCAGCTGTAGTGCTGTTAAGGTCTTCGCCGGTGTTCAAAAGCACCTTTAATTCTCTGTTCTTCTTCATATAAACATCTCGCAGATTTTTATACTGTTTGTGCATTTGTTGTTCTGCAAAAAATACATTTTAATAAGGCTAAGAAATAGAGGTTTACACTTACGCGTTACTTCACGCCCGAATGTTTTTGCAAATTCGTCTATGATAACACTCCAAGCCTGAACTCTTGCTTGATAATCTCGGTAGTTCGGATCACATTCGTTCCAGATGCAGGGATATACTTGAATTACTGCGGCGAGAAAATGTCGCTCCTCGTCGCTAAAGGCCAACTCAGGAGTTAGTTTCAGTCGGCCCATATCTAAAAACGTCATCTGTACATTAAAGTGATAAAGAAGTTCCGAAGCGAACAAAGGCGAAAACTAGTCCCCATAGAAGTTGCCTCTGCAAGCGTGCCTTACACATAAAAAGAGTATTTTTTATGACGGCAATACCCTGCACGTACTGTGCTCAGAAGCTTTATTTTGATAAGCAAAACCACGGGCAATTTTCGAGAAACCGCCAGATTGATAAGTCGATATTTGTTTATTAAATTGAAGCCATCAACTAGAAGAGTTTTTAAGCCTGCGATGAGAAGTAGATGCTCTATTTTCAGCGCCTTCCTATCGCCGCCAATCGTGACAGGCTAGTACTTTTTGCAGAACTTTTAAATAAAACTATATATGTCATAAAGCACGCTCAATGCCGAAAAAATGCAAGAAACAATGTCCATACAGAGTATAGGTGCTGGAAGAGCGCAGTTCCCGTCAGGGAAAAGGGGAAGGGGGGAGGGGGCACTAGCGATTCGCAATTGCAAAGTCGCTGCAAAAGACAAATTTGGCGAGATGTCAACAACTCGTACACGTAAGGAGAACGACTCGTCCAGAGATCAATGACAGAAGAATCGACTATAAACAGCCCGGGACAGGGAGCTATAGGATTATTGTACTGGTGTAGCTTCGTTGTCCAAGATCATTTGGAACATTCAGTCATGCCTGGGATTTTACATTGAAATTTCAAAATGAGCGGTAGACAGTTCTTAGAGTTGGGTGATGCGAAATCTACCAAAATGCCTCCACGTGATGCCGCCGGCGGTACTACGGATGACTGTAGACAGCCCAGAACAGGGGGCTATGTGATATATAGTGACGCTTCCGTTACTTGTTGCTTGGTACAGTCAAGGTCCACCCAGAGATAAGTTACACTTTTGAAAGAAGTATATCTGATGGGAATTC